TGCAAAATAATTGATTGTTCTAGCCGTCGACTGCTCTTTGGCAGATAAAAGGCTCACTTTGTGTCTCTATGGTGACCAGGAGGGAAAAAGCTAAGAAAAGGGTGATTGATGAAAGAATTTTTATGAAACATTTTGAGGCAAAGCATTATTAGACTATATTAGTATCAGAGAAAAATGATGAAATGGGGCACAATTTGATGAAAAGGAAACTAAACTTAATTTATTAGGTTGTACTTAAAAAGTGAAATAAAAACACTTGGTTCCCCGATCCCAACAGCTAAACCAGAGGCGTAACTAGAAACTTTAGGGCCCCGGTGCAAGAAACCATTAAGCCCCCCCCCAAAAAAACCCCCATGATTTTGATACAGTGGCGGGCCCTCTTCTTTCTCTCTTGGCTCCCCCCAACTGGCCAAACACCAGGGCTCGGTCGCAAATGTGACCGCTGCGACCCTGGTAATTTCGCCTGCGTGTAGTATCAGGGCATTTTCACGAGTACTTGTGAAAATGCCCAGTATTTTGGCACTGGTGCATCCCTACTTAATAATATAATGTATTGCTGGGACTTTTAGTCCTACATAGTTGGTGGTATTCTGCATTGCTGTATAATCATTATACATAAGTATTAAATGTATGTGGGCACTGCTTGTGTCACTGCATCTGGAGTAATACTATCAAGATTAGGAACATGATGGGTCCATATGGCCTTATCCATAATTTTTTTTTCTAAAAGGAGAGCATCATTGCCTGATAGCAGGCTCAAATGTCAATTGATAAATAACAATAAGCGGAATGTAATAATTGTTATTTATGTGGTGTTGGGTAAACAAACAATTCTTATATTAGATACTTTTATAAATGAGGTTCATTAATATCACTTAACTGTTAGCAGTTAGTGATAGTTTGCATTGGTTACTGAAAGTCGCTTCATCTCCTCAATGTCAAAGTAAGTGTCAATGTCAAAGTCTTTGTGAAGATTGTTTGTTATTTATGTGAATGAGTATTGTAAATAATATTACAGGAGAACTAATGTTTTGAAAGCTTGTTTTTGTGTATATTTTGTAAATGTATATGTGTTTAAGCCATATTTGCTGCTTAGTCTTGCTAGTACATGGAGACCGTCCGCTTCCAGAAGGATACACAAACAGTGCACAGACAGAAATTAAGAAAATTGTCAATAAAATATTTTAATAATGCACAAGATTTTTCACAGGTGGTACTTCACTCCCCAGAGATTGGCGAAGATCTTCCCTTCTTCCTCCCCTCTATGCTGGCGTGAATGTGGAAAAATTGGATCACTACTTCATATTTGGTGGGCATGTGACTCCATGGGGGTGATTTACTAACCTAAACACACACACACACACACACCAGGTGTGTGTGATTTTCACACAGCAAAACGTATTTATCAACCAAAAAGTCTCTAAAAGCATATTTCCACTAATGCCATATATGGAAAAATCATGCACATGATGCATATATAATGCTGCTTCACAGTTTAGACAAAAATGGTTAGCTCATGCATTTACATTCCTTGCATTCATCAACGCAAGCAACACAACATAGAGCTAATTTACCCAACATCACCTTGGAATTCCTTCAGGGCTTTGCACAACACACCTGCTGGGTGTGTACACATTACAAAGGTGTTTAGATTCCACCCATAGATCATGCTGGGAGGGAACACACTGCAGAGGTGTATACACGTTCGTGGTGTGTTTATAAGGTTAGTAAATCAACCCCCATATGTCAGTATTGGAAAATCGTTTTCAGATTAATTTTCTCACTTACTAGCATCCCTCACTTCATGCCTTCTCCCCAACTAGCTCTCCTAGGTGTTGGCTTGGACGTCTGGCCCCTTTTACAGCGCACCTTTGTAACTCATACACTAATAGCTGCTAGACTGGCGCTTGCCAGGAAATGGAAACAGAATTTCTTCAGACTTCCCTCCGCCCTTTGTAACCTCCCCTTACTCCGCTTCTCTCTTCTTCCTCGCTTCTATACATATTTATATAAGCTATACAACAGGTACATGTCCCTGTTACTCAGATGTACCATACTAATTGTTTCTTTTTTTTTATCCTTTCTGTAAAGTTTTAATAAAGCCTTAATGTTTAACTGCTTGAAGACCAGGTGTTTAGATCCCCTACCTGGCCAGGCCATTTTTCAGTGTTCAGCGCTGCAGTACTTTGACTGACATTTATTCCGTCACGCAACGCTGTACTGAAATGAATTTTATACAATTTTTTGGGGACAGATAGAGCTTTCTTTTGGTGGTATTTAATCACCACTGCGGGTTTTATTTTTTACTATATTCAGGAGAAATTACTGAATTTTTTTTTTTTACATTATGCTATAAAACAACTAATAGTACCCACTTGTTTGGTAAAATATAAAAGACGGGGTCACGTCGGGTAAATAGACACCAAACATGTCAAGCGTAAAAATTGCGCGCACTCGCAAAATTGCAAAAAACTAGCATACCCAAAATTGGCCATAGGCGACGCTTTAAAAGCTTTTACCGCTCATCAGTTTAGTGTTATCAGAAAAAAGGGGGAGTGGGAGAGCCGCGGAGGGGGGGGGCGCACGTCTCGGGGCTTCATACAAGCGATCCGCCGGCTCTATAGCCGGCGGATTGCTTGTATATTAACGGGCATCGCTGCCTCTTTTCAAATAGCGGGGATTTCCCACTCGCGCACGCGCGGCGCGCCCGAGCGGGCGGATGTAACAGGACGTGTATACACGCCCAGTTACATCCAAGAAGCTCCCGGCAGGCCGTGTATACACAGCGGCTGTTCGGGAGGTAGTTAAAAAAAAGTTATGCTTTAATGCCATTAGGGTGAGCTGTGCTGGTGAATGAAGCGCACCAGTTCCAAAAAATATAAATAATATTATTTCTCTTAAATTGGTATTTGCCATTACTCATATTTAAGCTTTATGATTAGTAGCCTTGCAATGTGCTTTACTGCTTCTTTATCACATTGTAAGGCTATGGGTCTGGTATGACCAATAAAATCTGTAAGGCTAACTGAGCTTATCACAGCAGTCATTAATAGCTGAACTCCATGCATAAGCTAAATACCCAGTTAAAATATACATCTAAGAGATGTTTTACCTGCCAAAATAATTATAAATATGTATTGGGTTTTACAATATCCTAACAAACAACACAGCCAGGTTGGTGACTTGACTTTTATTTACTACATTTAAGAACTTCAAGTGATATCCAAGTCAAAGGTTTTTGAGCTATTTCAAATGCTGATTTAATCACCTACAAAGGATGTTGCTCCTTGATGTTTAAAAGTTTTAGCTTCCTGCAAAACCAGCTGGTCTCCTGAGCACTGGCTCCAATATCCAGTTTTAGGAAGGCTTCTTTCCCTTGAATGGTCTTATAGAACCACCTTTGTGGATGCTAGTAAGCTGTGTGTGTCAATAAGTAAACAGGCACTGCAAGACAAGTCCTCCTCTCTACTCCTCCCTCTTCCCTTCTCCATGCTAGCAGATGGACTGCTGCTGGAGACTGTGCTCTCCCTTGTGTTGTTGTACTGGACAGGAAGTTCATGGAAGCTGAGCTGACAGAGTTGGAGCCAGCTGTTCAGAAATATGATGACTGTAAGTGCTTGGGGAAAATAAAAAGAAATACTCTGATGGGCAATGTATATTTGTGCTGGATTCATTATCGGAAAAAGTTTGAGAGTTTAATAGGCACGTGCATTCGGATTTGGACGGACCTGCAAATCAAGGAAATTCAGTTGATTCGTCGGTTCGTCCGAATCCGAAATAACGAATGTATCATATGCCCGAATATACTAAAACTATATTTGGGCATACATGGATTCGTTTGCAGGGCGCCGCCATCTCTGAGTATATCTTGGTATACACATACCAAGATATACTCAACATACGGGCACTGCCATCTTGGTGTACACTAAGATACACTCATGGGCGCCACTCGTTCTGCATTTTTTTTTTTGTGCGGTTTTGGATTCAAAGGTGCCTCCGAATCCGAAACAGCAGAAAAATGTGTTTTCTTTGATGAAAAGAATGGAAACATTTTTCGTTTTTCATTTGTTTAGTCAGAATTTTTTATTTGTTTTGCAGTGCACATGTCTAGAGTTTAATATTACTTTTAGCACTACTTACAGATATATAGATATTGAACTCATTCCTTTGCACACTTTCTTCTCTCATGTTGTCTGCATGTTCTTTGTCAGCAAATTTGCAAGCAGCATATCTTACTGGCTCCTAGTGCTGCTCCTTCTCCCCCATTCTTTGTGTTACCACACACAGAACTTACATGAGCTGCATTTTTTAAGGAATACATAACTATTGTAATTGTTTTTTACAAGTATTTTCTTGGGGATTAGCTATAAGTAGCATCATTTGCAAATGTTTACTTTAGGGAGCATTTAGAAATCAGCATTTGTGATAAATGTATCAAAATACATTATAGCCAGTGAGTAAAATGTAAATAAATGACTGTAAATGTGTCAAAAATACAGCAATAAAAATGCATACTTACTGAAAATACATTATAGCTCATTGTTAAGTCTCCAGGTGATCAGTAGGAGTGTAAAATCTAATGGTAGAAAAGAGCATTCACAAAAGTTACATAGTCATTTTTCATCCTTGATCATTGGTAAGATAGCAACATCTTACCCCTGACCTCTATACGTCGCTGCAGGCACTGAATGTTAGATTCTGTTGTTGCATGATATATAATGTAAATTTTAACTGGGATTCTAGTAAGGAGACTCCTTAAGCCCCCATAGACAAAGGGTGTCTAAGAATGATATCTGCAAACATCAAGTTTATGAGCTTAAAAACCTGTGTGCTATCAGCTGTGAGTTATCTCGCCTACCTGATATGTTGATTTTGCACTTCCCGCAATTGCTCTTTGAGTGTGACTTTACTAAATGTATGGCTACAAATACAATTAACAGTAGAATCATACATTAATTGAAGGGTCTTTGTATGAATTAATTATTGCTCTTTCCTTCTAGATACTGGCTGACAAACAAGGTGCACATAAAAAGACCTACAACTGGGATTCTAATGTATACATTGGCTACGCGGTTTTGCAACAGGATCTATCTGTATGGCTTCTGGCCTTTCTCCCGAGATCTCCACCAAAACCCTGTAAAGTATCACTACTATGACAGCCTAAAATATGGATACACATCACAAGCAGGACCACATGCAATGCCACTGGAATTTAAGGCTCTAAAAAACCTACATCTTCAGGGAGCTTTGAAACTTAATGTTGGAGAATGTGAATCAGCAACATAGCATCCTATGAAACATTATGCTTTCTTAAACTGGTGGTACAAAGGATTATTTCAGACAATTGCCCTGATCTAACTGAATATTAAAAGTATTATTGGAAGATACATGTGGACCAAAAGATGAAACAAATTGAAAGGAAATGATGGCTTGGTAAATTGGACTATACAGGATACCTAGACACTTATAGTTACGGATCTGTGTCTCTGGATAGTCTAGCACACGCGACTGTGATGATGTTTGCCTTCTTGCTACATAGAGCAGTACTAGCAACACAACAACACAACCAGCTAAAATGAATATGGTGCTATTAAGAAAAAAATGTAATATGGGAAATATGTGATGAGCTGTTATTTTATGATCTAGTCCAGAAAAGCTTTTATTATGTTCTCTATTTCCCAACAGAAAAGATGAATGAAGACAATCATTTCACAGTAAATAAAATGCTAACAGTATTAATGTTCATACAAATGCATTGGTTTAAACTTATATTTGCATTACAACAATAGGTTATTCCCAAACATTTATTATTAGGCACATTAGGCTCCTTCCCATGGGCAGAAGAGCTAAGAAGGGTTTTATAACAACAATGTGCTAACTTCATTTTATCTAACGTCAAACTTTATTATTTAAGTACATTGTTGCAATAGTTAGATCTTTGACATGAGACCTCGATAGAAGGTCTCATGTAAGGTAGATGTGCCTAATAGAATGGAGCATGGCTTATATTTGGACCTCTGGAGGCTCAAGTCATATAGCTTTGCCCTTCAAAATTAGTTATGTGGTGAGCTCATTTAGACCTGCTGTCCTGAGAGAACAATTTACCTACACTTAAAACTAAGCCTCAAATGTTGCTTTTACTGCTTCTTTGGGCAAGCACTGGTTTGTGCCTATATCTAAATTTCAGTGATGTATGTGTATCAAAGAAGGTAACCAGAAGTGCAACTATGTATTTATATTTGAGATAGGAATTATACAGGCTTTATGTGATGCATAAGTTATATTACTGTATATAAATGGAGACAATGTTCACCAGTCAGGAAATAGTTCATTTTCCATAATGCAGTTGTCACTCTTTTCATAGGATAGGCATTAGGTAATGGTCCTGTTCTTGTAGAACATGTTACAGTGTCAGTAGAACTTTAGAATATTTTCTGGAGTAAGGCATACTTCAGAATATTAAGAGTGTGCCTGATTGCCGTGCAGTTTCAAATGTCCTGTGTATGGGGTCCAGTGTAGCCAAATAAAGTCAGTTCTAGATAATGTCTTATTACTGAGTTTGTAAAGATGTGTAACAGCTTCTGTCTTTTCCCCAAATGGGACTGGCACTGGGTAGTTGTATCTATGATCTGACCAAGTCAGTTATATTAATGTGCAGATAAGTAGAAAAAGGTGTTTTGATATGTGTGGTTCAAGGTTCTTTGTAGTCAAAAATATGAATAGTCCAACAAATTAAATCAGACTAATGCACTGATACATCCTTCACATTTCACATTTCTAAGAGGAAACTTGGAGATATTTTTGGTACTAGACATCTCAGCACTTGAAAAATGGATTTTGCACCACAACACTTGTGTTTTCTCAGGATTCTGTCAGTGTTTGTACACAATTTTGCATTTGCCTAAGCTCTGGGGAAAGATGTATTAATTACCTGAGAAGTATCAAGATGGGTGCTGGTGGAAATGAATCTTCATGACTCCATCAATTTCCAACTCCCAATTCCATTACACCGTTTAAAGTGCCCAAAACATTTCTGTTGCTTTACTTTGATGTATCCAAGTGACTTATAACACCATGAATGAAGCCAAGAAGAATGACTATCAAAATGAGATGGTTAATTGTGGACCTAGTATAGACATTGTGTGGTCTAAATTGGCATTTTGTCAGCCATGGTTTCATTATGAAATAAATTTAAGACACATGTGAAATATTGAAACTTTAAGAATGTGCACTGATCTTTTATTTTGTTTTGTATTAAAATAAATATTGGATGTGTTAGTGTCCAAATTAATTCTGAGGGTAAGCTGACAGCACATGACACTGGCAGTATCTGCATTGTCTTTGCACAACAGAAAGGTATGACTATAGTTGACACATATATGCTTTATATATATATATATATATATATATATATATACACACAGAAAGAGAGAGGGAGCAATGTCATTTTTTTGCAGGTCCCATGGCTAAATAGACCCAAGACATGTATGCGTCTGCCATTTCTTATTGGACATGGGATGTCCTATAGTGGGATAATCCTATATGCTATATGCATCAAATAATTGTTTTATGCGTTATGAAGGAAAATATGTGCATTAGATGTTGCAATGGTGTAATAATGTGTTATACACTGTAAAACCGCGAATGGAAACACCCTTTATTAACACCAATATATACAGTATGTTTCTGGAATTAGATATTTGTGATACAAGTACTGTAGACTCATCAAAGTACCTGTTGCTGATCACACTGTGGATATTTTACCATTATTATATCATACTCACCATCAAGCCGCAAGGGTTAAGGAGGGTATAGGGGATATTCTTTTCTCAATAATTGTGTGTTGATACCATGGTTTTTAAATCTTATATGTCTTCCTTAGTGAGATTAATACTATTTTGCAAATTTGTGATATAGTATGTTTAGGTTGCTTTTACATATTAGTATATACTGTATATTAAAGTCAACTCATAGGGTGTTGTGTCCTAAAACTAGGTCTTTCTTTGACATATAAACATATAAACTAGACATGTGCACTGCCAAAAAATTTGTTTAGTTTCGTTTCATTTTAAATTCGGATTTGTATTATTTTGTTTTTCGGGATTCGGGGAGTGAAAGTCAATTCGGATTCGGAATTCGGATTCAGATGAAATTCGGTAGCGGTAGTTCGAACGTTTGTTTCGTTTTCTGTTCTTATTCGTTTCTTATTCGTTTCGTTCGTTCGTTTGCAGCAAAGTGACATTTGAGGGGGAAAAATATTTTTCTCCTTCTCTAATGTCACTTTGCTCCAACGAACGAAACGAATAAGAACCGAAAACGAAACGAACGTTCGAACTAACGCTACCGAATTTCGGAAATGGAAATTCGGATTCGTTTGCATTTGTTATGTCTGTAATGTCCGAATTTCCGAAAATTCATCCGAATTTCGATTCGGACCGAAACGAATCGCACATGTCCAATATAAACATTTATTGATTTCTATACCGTGGACTTCACCCCTTATATGTAAATTGGTTCAAAGGCTTGGAGTCAAATTTACAATATTTGTTGAGCTATCTATGATGAGTTCCATCCTTTATCATCCAGTCTACCTATCTTTTATCTAAAAAAGGTAGGTATGATCTTTTATCATACAGTCTTACCATCTATGAGCACCTTCATCCTTTATCATTATTTTTGCCCATCTATGATGACCTTTATCATCCAATCTTTCAATCTATAATGACTCACATTCTTAATTATACAGTTTTCCCAACTATGTTGTCATACACTTATGTTTACTGCCAGAATTAACATCAATTATATAATCTCTTCAAATAATTAGTATAAGTTCTCAAAAAATGGACCACATTAAGTGTGCAATAACAAAATGTTACATGTGGAATAATGAAGATCAGGAAAGTTACTAACCTAGAGCCACAATGTCAAGAGAACATTAAAGCAGAACTATGGGGTTAGGGCTTTTCCCCATAGTTCTCCTTAGGGTAACGGGAGGACACAAACTAGTGTCCTCTCGTCACCCTAAGCTCAGTATACCGCAAGCTACAAATCGCGGTATACTGAGACGCCGCAGCTGAAGCAGATCCCGACAATTATATATCCAGCCCCTGCCCTGTCACGGCAGAGAGCCGTGACAGAATGGAGAGGTGAGCGAACGCCGGTATGTGTTTGCTCACTTCCCGATCTACTGAGCCGACCTGTGACAGTCTCATTGTCGCAGGTCGGCTAGAACTATGAGGTGAGTGAAAAGCACTCACCTCATAGTTCTCCTTTAATCCCAGACAGGGAAGGTTAGTGTATCTGTTCTATTCTTTGTAATTCCTCCAAAACTCCAGACTAATACAGCACTTTAATCTTCATTATTTATTTAAATACTTCAAGGCATTCGTGGTCTATGAAAACAGTGATTAGCACTGAACGGTGTCATTAACTCAGCAGCCCTACTCACCGGTTATTTTAAGTCACTGACTGGGTAAGAGGCTTTACTTTACAGCTTTCTTATCATACCTATGCTCTTTCTAATGTATTGCACTTGAGCAAATTGCTTTATGCTTAGGCAAAGCTGTCTGTGAATCAGACAATTAGTTTGTGTGAAATATTGAGCAATATGGTTTTTGATGTAGGAATTTGATCTCTGTTGGCATTAACTTACATAGTCAAGCCCTGTTGTTTCCCACACCACATGCTGCATGGTAACTGCAGTGTTATCTCCATATACGCTGCAATTTTTGTGCTGTACTTTAGTTCATCGCAGCATAAGTGTTTCACAATAAGTAGAAGTTTATTAGTTGATTTTCCTTGTTGCTTGCCTCTCCTCTTTAAACTACCTACGTGTGAAGGCTGGTGCCTTGTGAAAGATTCTGTTCTCTGTAGATCTTTGCTAGATATAACTTGCATTTCTACAATTCAGGACATGGAATGTGAGCTCCCAGGAGACTGAAAATTGCTGCTCAGTTTGTTACTATATCAACACATATAAATTGTATTTGTTTTTATTTGCATTTAACTGTACTGTTATTTTTACCCTCCTACAACTGCTTATGTATTATTTGACTCATGGTCTACCCAAACAAGCTTGTACGTGTAATTCTAGAGTGACTGGAGAAATCAAGGTGTTGTTTAAAAGTCAAACTTTTAAATAGCTGGCGAGATCAGCTGTGAAGATGTTGAATATCATTCTCCTTGATTTGTAATCTCTTTATACATTTGACCCACACTATGGGTACAAAAAATGCTGTTCTGGGTGTTATTTTAGGACATAATCACATTTTAACTGATAATCAGGCCTAGGTTGGTTTCAGTGCACACCCCAAAAGCCTGGGTGTCTAAGGTGACAGTAATGCACATTCAGATAATGTATGTCACCAACATGGGCAGTTTCACAAGTGTTCTCTACCAATAGAA